TCTGCGGCCTCGCGCCGTTCGGCCGGGAGCGCTATTTGATCCTCGCCTGCCTCGTCCAGGCCGAGGGGGTGATGCGGGATCTCGAGATCTGCGTGGTTCGCCGGGATTCGCTGAAGGACCTCTACCGCGCGCGGATTCGGGTGGATTGCGTGCACCCCTTGGAGCTCGGGCTGACTTTTGCGCAGTTTCAGCCCGAGCTCGACCCCGACGACGCCTTCCCCGCGGCGGAGGGCCGATCGTCGGGCGAATCGAATCCATCGCCGCGCCTGCCCCCCGCCCGCGCTTCACCGCCGGAGAAAGACGGGGGATCGCCCAACCATCCCCCCAACGCCTCCTTCGCCGAGCCCGACGCCGCGCTCTACCCGCCGGAGGGGACGGTGTTCTTTATTATTGCCGCCGATACCATCATCCGCGGCATCCCGTCCGACGCGGACGATCATGTGGCCTTTTTGCTCCAAAAGGGCGATTTTGAGGCGGCCTACCGCTATGCCCTCCGCCATCCCCTCCGGCGCCATTCCTTCAAGGATATCTTTCGCCAATTGTTGGAGTCGTACATGGCGAACGACCAGCTCGACAAGGTCGCGGTGCTTTTGCCCTCTTTTATTGGGGATAATTTGTCCGAGTGGGAGCGCTGGATCTACTGCTTTGACCAACGCGGGGAGTCGTGGAAGTTGGTGGATGTGGTGCCCAACTACACCTTCGACGACGGCGAACCCCTCTCGCGGCCCCCGAAGGCGATCGCGCATTACCATTCCCTGCAGGATCTCGCCATCGCGGAGTCCGTCGCGGCGTCGGACGACTCCCGCGAGGCGGCGGGGGGGGCGGACCCCCCCGCGGTCGTTCCTCTCGCCGCCTCCCTGCGCTCCTCCATCGGCAAGGCGTACTACGATCTAATCCTGATTCGCTGCCTGGAGCGGGATTCGGTGTTGTTTAACGGCGCCGTGCATCATTTTCACGGGCTTTTTAACCTCCCGATCGTCCTTCGCGCGGCGGAAATTCAGTACGAGGGGGCGTGCGAACAAAAGGCCGGCGAGGCCGCCTCCCCTCGCCACACCCGCGCCCTCGGGGAGGCCTACGCTTTTCTCCTGCAACACCAGGGCCGGGACGGGGAGGCCCTGCGGGTGCTTTTGCGCGTCTCCCACGGCGACGAGGTGGTTCGATTTATTCGCGAGGCCAAGGTCTTCCCGACGGCCCTGGAGATCCTGCCGGAGCTCTTTTCGCGCGGGGTGGAGGCCACTGTGGGGCTTTTGCTCGACCACGCCCGGGCCCTTCACGGGGTCGCCGGGGAGGATGCGCTCGGGCCGGAGGCCGTTGTGGGCCGCCTCGCGGGCTGCGAGCGGCGCTTTCTTTGGCTCTATTTACACGCCTTGCGGGAATCCAACCCCCCGGCCTTCGCCGCCGTCGCCAAACGCCACGCGCAGCTCATCGCGACGTTGTACATCGCCTTCGACCGCGCGGAGCTTTTGCCGTTTTTGCGCGAGATGTGCATGTACGTCGAGCGGGTGAAGGATATCTGCGCACTCTGCAAGAAATACCACCTGCTCGAGGAGATGGTCTTTTTGATGGCCCGAATCGGGCGTGGGGAGGAGGGCTTGCGGGTCATTGTCAAGCAGATGTATAATATCCAAAAAGCCGTCCAGTTCATCGTCGAGGTCCCGTCAAAAGAGGACCAGACAGTTCTTTTTAGACGGCTGGTGGAGTTGGTGGTGGAGTATAACGCCTCGCTGCCGGTGAACGCGGCGGGGCAGCGCTATATTCTGCACGACTGTCAGCCGGAGGATACCTACACGACCATCGCCCGGCAGTACGATATCGATGTGGATATTTTACGCCGGGCAAATCGCCCACCTGACGATCCTCCGGTGGATTCCATAATCGCCCATCCCGCGGCGAATTCGAACCCAACAATGGCGAATCGAAAGGAAGGTGATTTACCTTACGCTGGGATCGATTCCACAAACGCCGTGGCGCCTCCCTTAACGTCGAATCGTGACATTACATCCCAGGATCGCACCAACCAAGAGGTGGTTCCAACCAACGAAGAGGAGAGTTTACCGCCAAACCCGTGTATGGTTCCGTTGGAGTTATTATCCGCCCTGCTCCGCGCGGCGGGGGATCCGGAGATCTGCGCGAATCACCCGGTTATCGACGCCGGGTATATCATCCGCAAACTCCCCTCTTCGGAGTACATCGCGGATGCCGGGAAATCAATCGCCGCCGTTGTGCGCAGCCGCTGTGAAAATCGGGACTTTATTTCTTCCGTTTTGCAGATCACGATGGCGGATTTAATTGGTTACCACAAGGAGCTTTTAACCCGGCAAACTGCCGCGTTGACTATTCAACCGGGTAATAGGCGGTGCGGGTTTTGCCGTGAAGAGGCCGCGAAGCAGGGGGTTGTGGTGTTTGGCTGCGGCCATACCTATCATCCGGGCTGCGTCCTCAAGTATTTAGCCGCTGAAGATGTTTTGAATACTGAGCTTTTTAAGATCGACCTTGATGACTTTTTTGCGCGTCCGAAGCATTATTCGAAGGCGCCAAAGGATATCCCTTATTGTAGTTTATGTGCGCAGTCTCGTGGTGGACTTCAGAGGTAGTTATGCCGGATAATTCTAAAGAATGTAGGAAAAAGAGTGGGGTAGAGGGTAAAATAAGATACATCGGTGTGTATCGGACCGCCTGCAACCTGTAAGCCTTTTATTCCTTTTTCCTTACTTCTCTTCATTGACCTTTAGCTTGTGGGGATTTACCTTTAATTTATGTGTGGAGGTTGAAAACAAAATGTTTAAGTGCGGCACAAACTTTTTTTCGAATCAAAATAATCGATAAAGACGTTTGAATTTCTGTTAGTCCCCCAATCGTGTTGTCTCAAAAAATATAACCGTTTCTTCTTAGTGTCATCTCCTTATTTCCTCCATGTTTTTCACTCATAGTTTAATTTCACAGTAATCATACTAATATTAAGGATAAAGCACACATCATAAAGAATACGAATAATAACCATAATACTCCTAATTGTAACAGTACAACCTACGACTACTATTAATAGTCTTAATTGTGACAATCCTAGTACAGTACTAGGACAGTGTGAAACACGCCCTATAACCCCATTAAGCCCATCGTATTGGTGTAACTCATTGAGTGTGTTAGTTTGACCTTGTTCTAAATGCGCCGTAGTGTGATTCGAACCCGCAAGGAGTTTCTCGAGCACCGCCAGCATGAGCGGGTCCACGAGGCCATTGCGATTCGCAAGGCCCAATTCAATGATGCGATGCAAACGGCAACGCAGCTGCCCGGGCACCTGCGGAAGGACGCCCTGGCGCTGAAGAAGTTTACCGAACTCGACGATGCGGTCACGCGCGAAGGCAAATCAAGCCTGGACGATGAGTACGCACTCGCGGGGAAGTCGGACCCTCGGGTCCTCGTGAGTACCTCGCGCGGTGCTTCACAGAAACTGCTGGAGTTTACAAAGGAAGTCCGTTTGCTTATCCCGAACGCGGTTCGGCTGAATCGCGGGAGTTTGAGCATTCGCCAGGTGATGGAAGCCGCGCGGCGGGATAACTTCACCGACGTGGTTCTCCTGCAGGAGTCCCACGGGGTCCCGGACGGGCTGACGGTCTCCCACCTTCCCCTTGGCCCCACCGTCCGCTTTACCCTCCACCAGTTAGTCAGCCGACATGAGATTGAGGGTGTGGGGACGATGTCCGAGCAGCCCCCGCATTTGATTTGTGAGAACTTCACGACCACGCTCGGGCGGCGGATCACGGACGTCCTGCGGTATCTTTTTCCGGTCCCAAAGCCTGAGGCCACCCGTGTGATCACGCTGGATAACCAAAACGACGTGATTAGCTTTCGTCATCATACGTTTCGTGTGGATGGGAAGAATCCGCGTGCGGTGGAGCTCACGGAGGTGGGGCCGCGGTTTGAGCTGACGCCGTATCGCGTAATCTTGGGGACACTCGAGATGGACGATGCGGAGACGGAATGGGTTCTTCAGCCTTACATGAATACGGCAAAGAAACGACGTTTGCTCTAAGCGGTAAAAATGAAAGGGAATGTAGAAATAGAGGGAGTGTGATAAAGATCGGACGGTTTACTTTTTTTTGCGGGGGGAAGTTGGTGTTGGTATGGTGGTGGTTGGGTCTGAGTAGTCGACAATCCGCTTTTTTTACCCTCCTCTTTGTTTACTACTAATCTACATTCAGTTAACAGCATAGTGAGTGGTTTTGAACGAACTCCAATCGTTTGAAAAAACGAAATTAATAATAACACAATTTCTTTTTATTTCATGGTCTTCCGTGCCTTTGATTTTGGGCGCTTTGTTCATTTAGTGCTAAGGCGCTTCTTTGTGGTTATCTTTAATGAATATCTCCCCTTCATCTTTTCTCGATGCAAAGTGACCTCCATAGAAAGAATTTTCATTTTCTTTCTAATATAAATTGTGTATCCGGACTATAGATCCATGACCTTAACAAAAAACGCTAAACAAGATGATTTTCACCATCACTTGCGCTCCTTGTTATCATTTGTTGATCTAAAAGGTGCTTTGTGGGGTGCGAAAAGCTCCGATTCCGATACTATTACGGATAATAAGCCTCAGAGTTTATTCTTTTCACATTTTTCAACCGTTCAGAAAAACCCCAGCATGGAAGTCTTCGCAGTACCGTCGCAACCAACCGCACCGGTTGCGATAAATCCCCCGATATCGCGCATACCGTGCGACGAGGCCGAGCGAACGTCCTTTCCTCAATCCGCCACGCTAAGGGCGGCGTACTGCCAGATCACCAAAGAGGCCGTTCTCTGCTTTCGCGTGTTAGCCGCGCAGCGAAAGATTCTATCTGAAACCCCCTCGAATCCCTCTTTTCTGTGCGACCCGAGCGATCGCAAATCCATCACCTCCTCATCTTATTTGTCCAAAACATCGC